CCGCCCGAGCCCCCTGGGCGCGGGGGCGGGGCTGCGAAGGGGCGGCCCCCTCACCTCTTCCCTGAACGAGGGCACGCCCCCACCCACCTAGAGGAATCCACTCCCGGCACCCGGTCCCGGCTTGACTCTGTGCGGTCCTCCACTCATGAGGTCGGTGTTCCCAGCCCCAGGTACAGGTGAGGGAAACAGGCTCTGAGAGAAGGCGTGTGATCTGTCCTCTGGGGCCAGCGCCTGGTAGTACCCTGGCCACCCGGCCCGCTAGGCTGGGTGCCATTCCTTCAGCAGGCGACCGTCACTGACCCTCAGGGTGAAGCCCCTTGCCTGGAACCTTGATACTTCAGCAGGGACAACCACCTCAAGGACAGGGTCCCTAGCACCTAGCTCAGGCAGGGGGCGGAGGCTGAAGGGTTTGCTGAGTATCCCTATTGCCTGCTTCAAGATTTGCAGCCACGTCTGCGAGAAGACTGGGCCTTCGCTTGACCTGCTGCCGCAGGGCCCCATTATGACCCATGGTGGGCAGGGGTCCGTTCCCAGGACGAGTATGGCAAACCTCAGCCAGGGCCCCCATTCAGGCCATTTCATTTGTCCATCTACCAGGCTGCACTCGCAGGACAGAGCTTAATCCACCCCCAAACCCAGGAGCTCCTGGTCCCATGGAAGAGACAGGGAAGAGAGTAGGCAGGTTGAACCAGTGCTCCCTTGTTAGGTGAGGGAAGATTTAGGGGCTCAAGGGGCCACAGGCTGGGGTGTCCAGGACTTGCAACTACAGAAGGCTATAAGAGGGAGAGGAAAACTCATGGGAGGTGAGAATTCCCTGAGGGAGGAATTTGCGAGGGGTTCTGGGGTCTCACCCCCCATCCCAGCCTCAATTCCAGGTGGTATAAGGACAGAAGCGAAGGGGATAGTAACTCATTTTGAAGTGACTGTTGTACACGATCTGATCACCACCTTTCATCCATCATACAATAAAGAATCCAGAGGTGGACGCTTGCTATAGGCCATGCCCTGTGCTGATCTGTCCATCTCTATGGCCCCAGCACCCTAGGCATGATGAGGTGAACCATTAGCTGTACACATCATCTCATGTCATCCACACAAGAAAATGACAGAGAAACATTACCCCTTTCAGCAAATGAAGAAACCTCACTCAGAGAGATAAGATGACTTACCCAAGGACACACAGTTTCCAGGCCTGCCTAATGCCAGACCTTTTACCACAGGATGCCCCTCCTCTGCCCACCCTCTGCAGGCTTTCCCTTTTCCTATCTTTCCCCCCTTACTCTTTCCTCTCCCTTGGTCTCTCTGATCCAAAACTCTGCACATCCTCTAGGGCCTACACCTAGAGGACGAAACACCACTTTGTCCAGGCCTTCCCAGGCAGCGGGGTCCAAATGCCTCTCACTTGGCAGCTCGGTGTCACCCAAGCTACTCTAATCAGCTGTAGTTCAGCAAATACCTCTTCGGTGTTAGGGGCCACAAGAGGGACCCTCCTCCAGAGAGCAATCCCTAATGGAGAGGGACCACAAATGGTGGCAGGCCAAGGAACAGTAGGCTCTCTGGGAGACTCGGCATGAAGGCCGGAATCTGCACTTGTGTGTAGGCTCTGGGTGCCCCAACCTTGGTCTTGTGCCTGTTCGGCGGGGAGGGGAGATGCACCTGGTGAACTTGGACGGGTTCATCTCTCACAGGTGTTGTCAAGCAAGTTCCCCAATGGGCTTGTACTTTGTCTTGGTTTTTATTTTCTACACCGAGGAAAATTTCACGATTTTTACATTCTTGTGGTACAAAGAACCACGAGGCATTTTTCACAATTTCTGTAGTCATTATGTAGCTATACTGACAGCTCTATCCTATTTCTGAGTTCTTTTTTTTTAAAAAAGCGTTCTTCCTTCTAGGAGGTTGAGTGGGACCGTGCCACTTCCTCTTCCCCGCCCCTCCCCCTAGGGCTAGACTTCAGGCTCCTCTGACAAGCTGCCCCCTCCCTGAAGCTTACCATCCCTCACCAAACCAACAATGACCTTGGGGTCTCAGACTCTCTGTAACATTCATTCATTCATTCATTCACATTTATCGAGAGCCTACTATGTGCTAGACACAGTAACCAAGACAGCCAGCCGTTAACACTATGAGGGGAGCAGAGTGCAGATTAATTAGAGGAGAGGCGGCTCAGATTCTTCAGGGGAATGGGGAAGGTCCCTGTTAACCCCCCCATCACACCCTGAAGGACTTTGTGTCCGCCAGAGGACCCAGCTCAGGGCTCTGCATATAGCGGGCTTAGCAAATGTTCATCCTCCCAGAAAGCCACAGTTGGAGGGGGACTCAGATCCAGAAGTCTGGATATAAGGGTGAATGAGACCCGGAGAGGGAAAGGGACTTTCCCAAAATCACATAGCAAGGTTAATCAAAGACCCCAGACTCCAGTTCCCTACTCTGCCCAGGCTCACAGCTTGCTTACTGACCTTTTTCATGGGGTGGAGGGCCGAGGTCGGCTTTTCACCCAGCCCTGGCCTGGCTGAAGGGAGAGGGGCCTTTTCTCCTTTCCCTTCATGAGCAGGTCCAGGGACATGATTTCTGGAGGCAGCTACAGCTCCAAACTCAAGAAGCATCTTCAAGTCAGAAAATCTTATTCTAAACCCGAGTCAACCTTAGTGAGAGGCAGTGGGCAAATCATGTCCCTTCTTTCAGGAAAGCAGGGTCCTTGAGGCCCACTTTCTAGGACTGCTGTGGAGTGGAGCTGCTTCTGAGCCCTGGTTTGCCTGTCCCCTGCTCCCTGTTCTCAGCCACTGGCCCGCTCCGAGCCTCAGTGTCCCTATCTGTAAAATAGACTAGTGATGGTACCTACTTTATAGGGTTGTGGGAAGGATCAAATGAGGCAAGCTATCACCAGTAAAATAGTAAGGATTCAGCCACTACACTCCATAGTTACAGCTTTATTATTATGACTACTGATGTTGGCGGGAGAGCAACCACCGATTTTTGCCCTGAGAAGGGACATGACCACCATGGGCGGGAGTCTGTCTGGGCTCTCCCAGGAGCCTGAAGGCTGTCTCGCAGCAGGGACAGGCTGGTGTCATGCCTAGTGGATGAATGAACACGCTTGCAAAATGATCCCGGAGCCATGGAATGTCATCCCGTTTGGTAGTTTCGAACGCTTTTAAACAAGCACTTTTTTCTAAAGCAACCTCACAGAGACTCCCAATGTACAAAGTGTGCGAGCTGGGGGCAGCCGGGGCTGCCCAGGGGGAGGCCTCAGCTTTCATTCACTAGAGCAGGGACTGAAAGCTCAGCGAGCAGCCAGTGCACTCCGTGAGGACAGAGCCCGCCAGGTGGGGTGTGCGGCCTCTACGGTCCCCTGTGCCCAAGGCTGCTGCCTGCGGGACTGGGTGGGGACAGCCGTGTCGCCTCTGCCCCTCTCTGTGACGGCTGGCTGCCCATTCCAGCTGATCCACACGGCTCCCCTGGGCTTCCATCCATGCCACCGACCAAAGTGCAGGGCAGTCCCCAGTGGAGGACAGAGAGGCCTGGGGGTCTCTGGAGGGAAGGACCCAAGTTCTCGGCAGCTCCCTTACCCCTTTCCAGCCACTATGCCACCATCCTGACATCTGGCCCTAACCCTGCTCACCCCTTCCTCAGGATGTTCTGAGAAACTTTCTCAAGGGCCTTAGAGAATTCCAGAACATGATTTGTTCATTCACCCATTTCAGTCAATTCCAAGTGATGCCAGTGAGGAGGGATGACCAGTTGTGGAGCCCCTGCTCTATGGGGTCACTGCCCATGGCACTCACCGGGCTCCTCCCAAGCCCTAGGAGGGAGGCCCAGGAGGGTCCAATGCCTGTTATTGGGAACGCAGGGAGGGTGTGTGCCGCAGAATACAGAATGTTTGGGGTTTTCAGAGGCTC